ACCAACCACCGGGGAAAGGAGAACCTGTTCAGTAAATGGTGCTGGAAAAACTGGCTAAGCACATGCAGAAGATTAAAAAAAGACCCCTACCTATCACCATACACAAAAATCGACTCTAAATAGATCAAAGACTTAAATGTAAAACCTCAAACTATTAGAACCTTAGGAAATGCAGGAGACACCCTTATGGAAATTGGAACTGGCAACCAATTCCTGATCAAAACCCCAAGTGCCCATGGCTTAAGAGATAAGATAGACTAGTGGGACCTCTCAAACTGACAAGCTTCTGCAAAGCCAAAGAAACCATTGAGAGAACAAGGAGACAGCCCACAGACTGGAAAAAATTTACCAACTGTATATCTGACAAAGGCCTAACATCTAGGATCTACAAGAAACTCAAATGTGCCGAAAAGGAAAAAACAAACAGCCCCATTACAAAAGTGGGCAAAAGATGAATAGACACTTCTCAAAAGAAGATATACGAACAGCCAACAGTTACATGAAAAAATGCTCGGCCTCTAGTCATCAAAGAAATGCAAATTAAAACTACACTGAGATACCACCTAACTCCAATCAGGATGGCCATCATCAATAACTCAAAAAACAGCAGATGCTGGAGAGGATGTGGCGAGAAGGGAACACTTCTACACTGTTGGTGGGAGTGTAAACTAGTACAATCTCTGTGGAAAACAGTGTGGCAATTCCTAAAAGATCTAAAAATCAACCTTCCATGCATGCTGGGAATATACCTGGAGGAACTCAAATCACTCTATGAAAAAGATACCTGTACACACATGTTTATTGCAGCATTATTCACAATAGCAAAATCATGGAACCAACCATGCTGCCCATCGAAAGAGGACTGGATAAAAAAAATGTGGTACATATACATAATGGAATATTTCATAACCATAAAGGACAGAATTATGAACTTCACAACAACTAGATGGGCTTAGAGTCTATAATACTGAGTGATCTGTTGCAGAAACAAAGAACTGAGAATCACATGTTCTCATTCATAAGTGGATCTTGAACAACTATTGTAATACTATAAGAAAGGGATTGGCAGTAGAAGGAAACTGTCAGGGGAGGAGGGTACCTGCATAATGAACATTTGTATATTTAACTGTAAGTTGTACCCCACATATTTAAAATAAAAAGCATGTTTATTAGTTTTAAAAAATAGTTGACCATATGAAAAGGTTTTATGTAAAAATCTGTGATCTGATTCACATTTGAAAAGGATCAGTCTCTCTAAAGACTGGGTTTTAGAAAGGTAAAAGGGAAGTAGAGACATCAGCTGGGAGGCTGTTGAAATAATCCAAACTAGAGTCAACTGGTGACCTAGACTAATGGCAGTGAAGGAGATGGCAAGTTTATAAAGACTGAAGATATGCTTGACTTGACTTTTTGTGTGTGTGTGTGTGTGCCACTTTTCCACTTGTCTGTGTCTCAGCTATCTTTTCTATTTTTCCTATTATATTTTTTCTCAAATGATCTTAAGAGTTTTTTCTGATGTTTTTGGATGTCTTTTTTTTTTTTTTTTTTTTACTATACTGTTCTTATTTCCTGTTTGTCTGGTAAGTCTCAGCTTTCTATTACTAAAACTACAAATTATTTGTGTCTACACCTGTTGTTTGCTCCTTCATTCTTTCCTAGATTCTATCAGTTTTTCCCTCCTCAGGGATGTTTCTTATCAATTATTTCCTCCGTCTTTAGTATTTCTCCTTCTCTAAGCATTGTCCCATTAGATGTAAATGTTCTTAGGTGTAGCCCATCTTTTTTTGAAGTCAGCTTTGTTCACTGTAATTTATACATAGTAAAATTTATCCTTTAATGCATAGTTTAGTGAGTTTAGACAAATGCATATACATTAAGTCCCCTACATATAAACAAGTTCCATTCTAAGAGTGTGTTCATAAGTCCAGTTTGTTTGTAAGTCCAACAAAGTTAGCCTAGGTATCCAACTAACACAATTGGCTACTTAGTACTGTACTGTAATAGGTTTATAACACTTTTTGCAGAAATACTACATAAAAAACAAAAAATAAAACATTTTTAATATTATAATACAGTACCTTGAAAAGTACAGTAGTACAGTACAACAGCTGGCATACAAGGACTGGCATCACATTTGCATTTCTGAAAGTTTGCAACTTGAAGGGGACTTACAGTAGTTGTGAAACCACCATCACAATCAAGAAATAGAACATTTTATCACCCCCAGAAAGTTCCCTCACACACATTTGCAGTCAATTCCTACCCTCCTTTCTCATCTCTGGAAACTCTTGATCTCGTTTTTGTCTCTATAATTTTGCCTTTTCCAGAATGTAATATAAATGGAGACATACAGAGTGTGGTTTTTTTAAAATTCATTTTTTAACTTAGTATACAGTAATGCTTTTGAGATTCATCCATATTATTATATATATCAGTAGATTCATTTGTTAAATTGTGAAATGATGTTCTGTTCTATATTATATTTTTATTTATTCCTTGAGAGACATTTTGGATCTTTACAGTTCTTGGCTATTATAAATAAAGCTACAATAAACAGTCACATACAGGCTTTGTGTGGGCATATGTTTTCATTTCTCCTGAGTAAATACCTAAGAACAGAATCACTGGGTCACTTAGTAAGTATATGTTTATAGGAAACTGTCAAGTTGCTTTCCAAAGTAGTTATACTATTTGCATTCTCACTAACAGTTTATGAGAGTTCTAGTTTCTCAACATTCTCACTAACCCTTAGTATATCAGTCTTTAATTTTAGCTGTTCTAGTAGGTGTGTAGTGGTATCTCACTGAGTTTTTAATTAGTATTTCTCTAATGACTAATGATGTTTTCTTGTGCTTCCTTGCCATCTCTGTACATTCCTTGGTGAAAGATCTGTTCAGATCTTTTGTCTATTTTTTGAGTGTTTCTTCTTCCTATTGAGTTGAGTTTTTTTATATGTTCTCAATGCAGTCCTTTCTTAGATAAATGCCTTGTGATTATTTTCTCCCAGTCTATAGCTTGTCCTTTAATTTTCTTACCAGTGTCTTTCAAAAAGAAGACTGTTTTAATTTTGATAAAGTCTAATTTATCATTTTGTTGTGATTTATGATATATACTTAATCTCAGGTCACAAAGAGTTTTCTACTGTATACTAAAAATGGAAATGCAAATGTGAACAAGATATACAACATACTTGTCTTCACTGTCTTTCTTTTTGTTTTATAGTTTTAGTTTTTATATTTAGATCTGTGAGTCATTCAAGTTAATTATTTGTAGGCAAGGGTCAAGGTCTAGTTTTTTTTTTTCATGTGGATTGTTCAGCACCATTTGCTGAAACTACTATGCTTCTCTCTTTGAATTACCTTGATAGTTTTCTTGAAAGTCCATGGACTAAATACATATAGGTTATCCCATATTTTAGCAAAGACCTTCCTTGACTTCACATGTCCATTTAACTAAAAATGCATTACTTCACCATAGCCATTCTTTAAAGAGTGGTCTAGACTGTGCTTCTTCATTTCTTAACTTCTCACACTGACATCTTTCTCTACTATTCCACTAAAACAGTTCTTGACAAAATCACTAGCAATCTCTGTTGTAACATTAATGGCTTACCCATATATTTATCCTTGTCTCATGTGAATCTCCCTTCTCATGTGACTTCTCATGTGACTTGCCTTGGACATTGTTGACCCTACCTTCTCTTTCAGACATTCTCTTCCCTTGACTAATGCAATCAAGGGAAAAATCCTTCGTATTTTTCCTCTGCTTTTCTGTTTGCCCTTATGAGTCTACTTTCCTAGTTTTTCTTTTGCCTATTAAATATTACTGTTCCTAAGGTTTCTGAACAAAGCCCTTCTTTCTTCTCATTCTATGCATATTCCCTGCTTATTCCCATTACTCCTTTGGCTGAAGAATCTCAGATTTATATCTGACCCAAATCTTTTAGATTCATTTTTCCATGTCTATCAGAACCATAACCCTATGAAGAAAATCACCTTGTATATATCTTGTTCACATTTGTATTCACATGCTTAGCACAGAGACCTTAACTATTTGTGAACTAAATGAGTACATAAGCAAACTAATCAAACCATGCAGTTGGTATTATATCATATCATACAATTCCAGTGCAATATTTTAATATCAACCCTTTGATTGATGCCATATATAATTAGTGAGTTCATGACTAGGGACACAAGAGAAGTAAATTGGTTACTTTTAGAATCATATAATTTGTCCTCACCATGGCTATTCTCCTGTTGCAGTTGATAGGGAACCTTAGGATGAAGAGATTGGAATGAAATTCTGGGCAGGGGCAGGAAGGAGATGGGAGAGTAAGGAGACATTTCTCCAAATATTGCAAACACTGTTTCTAAGATTTTCTAGTTCAATAATTTTCTTCATCAATTACCTATAATATTTGGGGAATAAAATACTTAGTGGCTCTATTAAATTCTGATTGTAACTTTAACTGTAATATATCATTTCTCTTTGGATTTCCTCCCAAAAATTTATAAGTTGCTGTAACATTTTTAAGCCCCAAAATGATTCTCCAGTTATGTAGAAAATGTAAATTGGGAAATGTAGATTATTCTGAATCTTATATAATGAACATTTTTATGAGGATTTGCATGCTCACATCAAAGAATGTATATGCTTGTTATGGGTTTAGCATCATACCAGGTGCTTTGGGGTTATTTGGGAGAAATAAAAGGTCCAGTCCTTATTGCTGCACTCAGGGAGAACATACCTTCAAAGAAATAAGTAAGGCACATATAGCCAAAACTGGCAAGTAAACACCAACACCTGTTAGGCAGTTTGCATTTTACTTGGCAGGAAAAACAGTGTGTCCTGCCACTAAATATGTGTTTTTGGCCTTGCTTGTCACTGCAAGCTATTCTGTAAGTGTGTTTAGAGTTTCTCTATTATATGCCCTTTATATTTTTTTTAAGAGCATACACTTCCTCACATTTCTCCATCTCTTTCTTTCCTACATTTCAGTGAGCGGTTTCTGGTGAGACTGAACAAGAATGGTGGGCCAAGGAACCCAGAGAAGATAGATCGAATGTGTGCCCTTTTTACAGTATGTGCAAATTCTTTTTCCCTTCTTTGCTGTTGATTCTAACCTGGGGCCTGCTATGTGGATATTGTCACCCTGGAAACAAGCATTGATTCTAATTTCCACATAAACTGGGGCTAACAGGACTTGATTTATGTTTCTATCAGGTTTTAATGAAATATTTACAGAAAACTGAAACTAGCTACAGTTTTTAACTGAATTTTTATTAAAGAAATATAATTAGGGACCTTTTACTGATGTAGATTTTATACACTATTTCATATAATAGACACCTAAAATTTGACAAAAGTCTTTCTTACTATTCTTACCCAAGGCCACTGGTAATTTCTCTCATGTGTAAGTATAATTCCTTTTAAAGACATCCTCCAAATTTATAGCTTTGCAGATTGTTTGTGAGTTCATATACAGTAAGACAAACTAAACAGTCCTCTTCCAAATGCCAAATAGAGAATCTTTTCCTGCTGGGATCTGTACCTTAGTTTTTTTCTGAGTAATTATACTATTGTTCATGATCTCTACAATCATGGACCCATCAACTCAGGCTTAATAATCTGCTCATTAGAAAGTAGTAAACCTCACAATACCACATTGACTTGTATATTCTTCAAGTTGATTCTAATTTACTAATTTGTTTTTATCCAGTTAAAAAACAGTCCAGCTTTATTTATTTGAAATAACTTATTTGCTGAAAAAAAAAAACAAGATTGTCTCACAATTTTAAACCTGTTTTGGTTAATGTGAATTATTTGATCTGTTTCAGTGATACTGAGTTTCATCAAAACCTATTGTGGTAGAGGTGTGGTAGTCTCACAATGTCATTGACTTGCTTATGGTGTGTGATTGCCAGGTGACAGATATGTTAAAGCTTACAGCATGCCTCTTGGATGCAAATGAGATTTATCTAGACATCTAATATGTGACTTTATCTGAAAAATACAATTGTATTTGTTCATTTCACTTTTTAGTTCATTTAGTACAACTTTATCTTTCAAAACATCTGATTCTGCAGTAACAAAATAATGTTATGCAGAATCAGAAACCACTTCCATAAGGATAGCTTTTATTGAAAATACTCCAGATATACAGAAAGATTTATAAATCTGACTAAGCTAAAATAGTGTTTTATCCATCTTTGTGCTTAGCATTCAAAGCTTAGGAGATAATGCATACAGAAAGAGCAGGAAAAGCAGACCCATGAAGATGGCAAAGGAATTTAGATAGTTTAGACAGGGAAGATCAATGCTTTCTCTTCAGTTGGAAAAGAATAATGAAAAGAATCCAAACTGTTATTAATGGGACTTATGTTAGACTACTGGGTGAGAGCTTCTGAAATAAGAATGTCTGAACCCTGAGATGGTTTTGTTGGACCTCCTTTCTGAAACAGAATCAGGAAGAGATAAGAGACCCATCTGTCTAGTATGTCTCAATAACCTTAGGAGATTTTTCTAGATCCTGATTCTCTAATACTTTCTGATAAAGCAGCAAGAGAAATTGTTGATACTTTGTTGTCTGGATTTGTGGGAACAGAGTTATGTGCATATCCTGGAATCCTTGAATATGATGCGTACAGTCCTTGTCTCTTGAAAAATAAACTTAATTATGGTGGTATTTGAATGTAATTACAGTAAATCAGAATTTCACTTAGCATTTTAATTATCCATATGAACCCAGAGGCCAAAGCTGTAGCTCTAACTTTATATTCACAGATGCACATAACACTCATGATATGTTCTTGTTCTGCCATAGTGGGAAGGCACAAGACTGCTAAATATACTACTTCCATAATTCCCTTTACAGTACAACCCTGTTTTGTTTTGTTTTGTTTTCTGAGGTCCCAAACATTATTTGAGGAATTTTTACAAAGCATACAAGATTTCTGAACAAGATTATCTCAGCTAGGATTTTTATGTTTAACTTTAAGCTACATGAAATAATAACTTGGGAACCCTGTTTTCTCATTATCTAAAGACTTGAATTTCTCTTATGAGCTAAAGGCATTTTCCAGATTGGCATATGTACTACAAAGTCTCAGAATAAATGCAAGAAAATGCAGTCACAACTATGACTATTACTGACCTGATAGCTTACCTTAGAATAGGGAAAAGGGGGCCAGGCGCAGTGGCTCAGCCTGTAATCCCAGCACTTTGAGAGGCCGAGGACAGAGGATTGCCTGAGCCCAGAGGTTCTAGACCAGCCTGGGCAACTGGGTGAGACCTTGTCTGTACAATAAATCACAAAAACTAGCCAGGCATGGTGGCATGTGTCTGCAGTTCCAGCTACTTGGAAGGCTGAGGTGGAAGGATCACCTAAGCCTAGAAGGTCATGGCTGGGGTGGTCGGAAATGTGCCGCTGCATTCCAGCCTGGGTTACAAGAGTGAGACTCCAACTTAAAAAAAAAAAAGAACAGGGTAAAGGGAACCATACAAACTTAGCAAATTGCAAGTTTATCAAGTAGACTTTAGAGTCTCATTATAGGCACATTATTTATTACACAACCCTGTTCTCTCTGAAGCTTTCTTTTTTCTGACTTTGTTAAATTTTAGGGCTTCCTCTAAAGAAAGAATTTTATCCAATACAATGAGGATTTTGCTCACTTTCATGATAAACAATGGCTCTGTATACAAATGTGTGGGAGTATGTCTATGTATTTACTCATTACTAGATATTCAGTACCTCATACACAGTGTTTGACAAATACTAAGATCTCAATAATGATTTATTACATAAATAAATGAATATGTATATTTGCTATTATTATTCAAGTGACCAACTCAGAGAATGAACTTGTGCTGTTATCACTGCATTAGTTGGCATTATATTTTATACATTTATTTATACTCTTCCACATTCCAATTTAGGACTTTAGATAATGATTTCTTAGAGTTCAGAATTGAACTTCATCATTACTGTAATAACATTACATATTAAAACAATACCTTCTTTTCTACAACTTAAGTATGACTACATTGGTTTTATTTTATATTTGCAAATTCTATTATCTCTATAGAAAAAAGAGTATAACTCAGGCACAGGGAAGTTAATTAACTTTTCCATGTTTCACGTGGAACATCAGTAAGTAAGTCTAAGATGCTGAGTCCTGAACTACTGCCTTCATTTTTCTCTCCTACCCACTGTGTAGTTGAGGCTTCCTAGTTATTACAGAGTTTGGCCAGGTAAGCAAATCTAATTCCTGCCATACAGTCAGGATTCAAACCCTGCTCATTAGATAAATGGTGGGTGCATCGCCCCTCTTCTCATCTTGCTTTTACAAATCTTGTAATTTAACATGGATAGCTACTCTTGGTGCTCAGTCTTGAAGAATATGTGTTTAATAAACCCTGTGGTAACTATGTTTGACCATACACTTGCATGTAATAAGATGACTTTCACATTGAAAATATGTAGAACTCACAAATAATAGTTTTACTTGAAATATTGTCTTGCATTAATTATTATAGTTTCATTTTTATTGAACTAAAATACCATGGAGAGTTCTAGGTACCATGTATGAGATGGTCAGAAAGAACCCCTATTCAACCACTTGGAAAATACCATAAATTATACTTAGGGGCCTTTCTTTTATTGACTCAGCCAGGGCCAAGGGAAAAGTTCAACGTTCTTGTGTACAACCCATCTGATTAGTGTTTGGTCATCTTTAGTAACCAGCTTGAATTATTTAGGTTTATTGAAGTCAATAATGATTCTAGTTATTTGATAGTTTGGATGTATATAACCTAAATAGTTTGGATATGCATAATCCTGTGTAGAAGGAACCATTTCACTTTGAAATGTGTCAGACATTTCTGTGACCTTCAGTAATAGACATCTTTCAACCCCAGAAAGTATATAAAAATGGTAACCTATTTTTCAGTTTTATTTGGTACTCATCTTAGTAAATGTCAAAATGTGGTGCTATTTTCAGAGTATTATTTTAAATTCTGTTTTAATTAAAGAAATGAATAAAATGGAGCCTGAAATATCCTTTTTCAATATCCAAAGACAACTTTCATTAATATATCTTTGTGTTTCCAGATACTAATTTATGTTAAATTGTTTTATACCTGTTTCATTTTAAGCATATTTTATTCTTTCAAGAACTTGGAAAATTAGTATAACCATTTAAGTCTAAAAGCTTTAGTTTTGCCATTGCACATTACTTTTTAATGTCTCCTTTTCTTTCATATGTTGAGGACTGTTCAACAATACAGGGCTGGGAATAGGGTAAGGCAAGTAAAGCATGGGACCCTGAGAGTGAGTGCCTCTTAAATTTTGCACCTTAGGTTCCTTGCTTGCCTCACCCTAGTGCTAACTCTGCAACTGGATATGAAAATTAAGAAACATGAGGACTCTGAATCTCAAAGGTCACTCCAAATTATGACTGACACTTGAGTACACCTCTTTTCCTTTATTGAAGAGACAAGCCATCTGGGATCAATGAAAAGATGAACGAGGAGAAGGAGGAAATGGAACTAGGGGAACCCTTCCTAGATGCAAGAGGGAAATCATGGAAACCTATTCCATTAAAAAGTTACTCCATCCATTATCATTAAATCACAGTAATGGCTAGGAGTGAACAGCAAGTTGACGGCCTGGTGAAAAATCTGAAACAATATATATTAAAGACATTTTTACTACTTCAGGTATAATACATTAAATAAAGTATAAATGCATATTGATGAACAAACATTTTGTTTCGACATATGTTCTAAACACAAATACTTACTATATAAGAATGATTTTCACAACTCTTTGGTTTGGAAAGTTTCTAAGACTGAGTCAGATCTGTTTACTTAGAGGAATCCCTTACATTTTTCCAATAAGATATTTTCAGCTTTATAATTTAGAAATGGAGGTCAAATTATTGGTATTTCACCAAGGCCAAATTAATCCCTTTTAAAAGGAATACACTTAGTGTGTGGTAATCATTTGTGGACAAAAAAATCAATGTAAAATTAGTAGATAATAAACTTTTAGTCATTAATGATCTTTTTGGCATTTTCCCATATTTTTCTGCACTGAACATTTATTCCTTTTATTTATATGATGTTAGAATAAACATAAGATAAGGCAATATTATGAAGAGCTCTACTTTTGTAAATATTTGATTTGTTAGGTGGTTTAAATGCAAGCTGGAAGAATATTGTCAATAAAGAAAACTTCCAAAGGCATATAAAATATTGAACTTCCATTACAGGCAACTTATAAACATTAATCTGCTGTATTCTCCCTTCCCCCATCTATAACAAATACTAAAAGCTAATTACTAAAGTTTCAAACTGAAATTCTAATTATTTTCTGTGTATTCCTTGTCTAAATTTACTTATTTTTTCTCTTTTAATAGGATCTGAGCAGCAAAGATATGAAGAGAGATTTGTATATAGTTGCCCATGTGATCCGAATAGGTACTGTATGCCTTACGCATTCACATGACTAAGACTGACCCAACTTGGGATAAGTATCTCGTATGCAAGAGCCTTGTTCTTACCCCAGGCCCCAGATCTTACCTGTTATTTCAGGTCTCAGAATTTGAGTGCAACTTTTATTGAAGCTATACCTTAACTCAGCTGCTGTGATAACTGGATTTGTTACCAGTTACATATAAATAGATGTGGGATTCTTTTGTTGGTTTTTTGTCACTTGGAATTTTCTGCTCCCTATTTGTTTTGGATCCAAACTTTGAATTTCAAGTGGTCTGCTTTTTGACATTCTTTCTATCACAATGCCCTACCTCTGTACCTACCATCTCCCTCAGATATCTTATAGCGGGTTTCCAGGGTTCCAACTTTTACAGGTAGTGAATGCCTTTTGCTGTGGCTTGTGTCCAAAATTGTGTATCAATACTATTTTCCACAAGATTAGAGTTATTGTCATCACTTCAGAAGATGGATGGCATCTCACTCCTACCCCACCTAAGATGATAAAAGTAATTTTTGCTACTGTTCTATGGTAGCTTTGCCAGACTTATTTTAAATTTTTGACATAACTTTTGGGGCTATGGCTAACTAAGTCTTTCATAGGTTTGAATTCTGGTATGTCATGTACATTTTTTGTGAGAGAGTATGTTTTAATCCCTTGCCAACAAAACAGCTATTTTGCTGTACTTAATAAAACATTTGTTTAGGTTCCAGTATTTGCAGGTCTCTTGTTACTGTAGGCACTGCTTTGGTAAGCAGGAAAAGTAAACACCCATCCACTTCCTAAGACTGCTGTCACTCCCACAGTGGCTCAGGAGCACCTTGAACAGCAGAATTTAGTTAAAAGAAGAACACAGTGTTCTTATCTGTATACATATATAGTTTGTTTATACCTGGCAGCCAAAATACTAAATGTTATATCCTTAATATGCCTGACAAGTTTTAATCTATTAGTATATTATTTTTTCTAAGAAATTCATGAATTCACTCTTTTATTCTGATGTGCCTAATAAATGGGCTGTTGGTGTTGGTTCAGAGGTAGATAAGGATGATTGAATGTGGTGTAAGCCTTTGACCAGGGGCCTGTTTGGTGTTCTTCCACATAAATATCCTTGGATGACCCTCTTGATCCCTGTAGTCTTCCATATTAGAGAGTCTTTTAGGTGCCTGTAGCTCTGGCATCCTTGGATGGCAATCAGGTAAAGCTGAAGAGAAACTTGGAGTTCTCAGTCTGACTGGTGTTTTCTGCTATGTCCAAGGCCGGATGCTCCTGAATGACTCAAAGAAGGGCCCTGCTCACCTGCACTACAGGCGACCATATGGCTGTGCAGTCCTAAGCATCTTGGATGTCCTACAGTCACTCACAGAATTAAAGGAAGAGAAGGATTTTGTTCTTAAGGTTTACACGTGAGTAACAGACATTAGGAATGTTAATGATTTGCAGCATAAGGCATCCCAGCACTAACCTTGAGAGAAGTAATTTTCAAGCCTTATGGATACAGAAACACCTGGATATAGAAGAGGGAGGTTTTTGAAAATGCAGAGATGGGTCTAAGATTTGAGGTGGGGCCCAGTCAGCATGATTGATTGATTGATTGAGACAAGGTGTTGAATGGAGTGACTTGTTAAGCACTAGAAAAAACAGAATAATGAAAAGAAACAAAGAATTCAGGCATATTGTCTGTCTTTTCTTATATAGACTTAGAAACAAATGGTAGTGCTAAAAAAAAAAAAAAAGGACCAATGGTGAGTTTATTGAATTTTTAAAGCAAGTATATTTCTAATTCTAACTTTGATTTTTTAAAAATCTATCCTCTTTTAGTTTTAACCCAATATTGTTTTTCCAAATTAAATCAAATACTTGTTAATCACCATGTTGGTATATCTTCACTGTAATATTATGTGGAGTTTTTTCTGCATTATCTGTTTTGTCTGACTCAGGCAAGAAATGAACTTAATTCACAATTACTCTTAATTTGGCCTTTATATAATCAACCACATTTGATTAATTTCAAAATAAAATCCAAAATCGCATTACCTATTTTGCCTTAAGCTCTGTTCTATTCAGAGTTGTGTACTTTATGGGAGGAAGATCTTCCTTTGGAGGAGTAACTTACAACAAAAAGTTGGCTGGCCTCCTCCTCCTTCCATGCGTCTGTCACAGACTTTGTCCATTTACCAAATCTCTTCATTAATAGATGTTAGAACCTGCTTGTTCATGTGCCTTCCTCCTTTTGAAAAGGACTAAGCAGAAGTCCAAAATCATCATTATTATCATTATTACTCCACTGTATCCCTTCCAAGGGTAAGAGTGCTAGTTACAAATAGCACACCAGAATTGTATCTCTTTGCATGTATTAGCTCTTCCTTGTTTCAGTGCAAATTTTCATTGTGGATGAAAGCTTGCACAGCCTTCCTCCTGAAATCATGCTGTCAGGCTTAATTGGCCTAATTGTTTCTAAAACAACAGCTTTCAGTACCAAATGTCACTTTGTAAGAAGTGGGATTCACGTATACCTTTTTCTTATCTCCTTCCTATGGGCTGTGTCTAATGTAACAGTTCTAAAAAAACCAAAGAAAAGTATGTTTATAGAAAAGATCGTTTTTTAAAAAATTCTTTTGAAGAACTAATAGAGTTAAAATGTAGGATAATTTTTCCACTTGAAAATGTTAACAGACTTTCAAATAGACTGTCAAATGCATATTTTTGAAATTGATTTTGTGTGCAGTATGGAATTCTTCTAGAATTAGTAATTTATATCAGCACGGTGAATCCAACCCTCAGGAGAGGCCATGTTTTCCAATAAGTTTCATGATATGTGGTTGTTGGTTATATTGAGTTGGAAGTTTAAAGAGTTTACTAATTGCTATTGATAGTACTTTAACCTTTGCTAGGACAGGATTTTACAAAGATAAATACCTTTTATGCCGTTTTAATCAATGAGTTGGCAAAATATCTCATCATTTTTTTAAAATTCACAGTCAGCCTTAACCAGAGAAGATTCAAACTTCTGTCTGTCTCTGTCAAGGCCACTACTCTGCTTTAATTTTTGTTTAATATCATGTGTGTATAGGAAGGCCCCATGTTCTTTTAAGAAAATTGAAATAAGACTCTGATGCATGAAAACTAGGCCATTTCCTAATGAGTCAAAAGCCTTAAAACTCACAAATAAATAAACATTATGTGCATTTCAGTCTGATATAGATAACCATATTTTTCTTCTTGGCCAGAGGAACAAGGGGTTATAAGCAGGCACATGGCATGCTGCAGCTAAAACCTAGGACACAAAAGGAGAGGAGGGCCAAGATCTAAAGCCCACATGGGGGAGGGGTGCCCATAAATAATGCATATGATCAAATATAAGATGACTCTGAATATGCGATGACCACTGTCCAATTTTATAATGAAAAAGGTCCTTGTAAACATTTGTAGGTCAGTCTTAATTAAATAGATAAATAAATACTTTGAATATTAAATTTATAACTTTAGTTACAATATGTTTTATGCAAAATATGTATTACAGATTATGTACTCATTCACATATTATGTAACATTGAGGAGTATTGCTTATTCACCATTTTTACATTTCATGAAATAATGTATCCAAAGTCTTCTTATGCAGCCATACTATCAGGTCGGTCTTGATGCATACTTCTTTGAGTCCTTTATGATACTTTCACACTGGAAATTCATCTTGAGGCACAATTACATATTTGCTTAATGGTTGGATACTTAATGTTTTTTGTGTTTTCATTTGTTCATTAATACTTTCCCACTAGTTATTTTAACTGAGCTGGCTAGCGATAAAGATTACTTAAAAGAATGATCATGAGTCAAGTTACCATATCTTTGAAGGAAAGCCAGTTTTTCTGAGAAGCTGAGATCTCACTCTTCACTTCTGCCACCATGAATCTGTAAGTCACATCTAACCAGGCATGGCATCATTTTTAGCGGCCTCATAATGCAACCACTTACTATGCTGCTTCTAAGATATTTTTTACAATAAAACTCCACACTTCATCTTGGTGATCATACTACAATCACAATTATATTATATTTGTACGTGTATTCTTTTTTTATTATAGAGATATGGGATACAAGTCAAGATTAGCTACACAAGTAGGCCTCCAACTGGTCCTCACTTCCTCTGGTTTAGGACCAAGTACCTTTTGTGTTGTTATGTGCTCCTCCTCCCCTAGCAGTGCCCAGCAACTGCCAATCCCTCCCTTATGTTAATGTAATTAAAATTCAGGTCCCACTTAAGCATGAGAACATGCAGTATTCAGTTGTTTGTTTCTGTGCTAGATCACTGAGTATGATGGTCTCCAACTCCATCCAATTTGCTGCAAAGTCCATGATTTTGTTCTTTTTTATGACTGGGTAATACTCCATTATGTATATGTACCACATTTTCTTTATTCAGTCCACTTGTGATGGGCAGTAGTGTTAGTTTCATGTTTTTGCTATTGTGAATAGTACAGCAATAAACATGCATGTGCAGGTATCTTTTTTGTATAACAATTTATGTTCCTCCTGGTATATTTCCAGGTGAGGGATTGCTGGATCATATGGGATGTAAATTTTTAGTTCTTTTAGGAATTGCCACACTGTTTTCCATAGAGGTTGAACTAGCTTGAACTCCCACCAACATTGTAGAAGCATTCCCTTTTCTCCACACCCACATCAGCATCTGTTGTCTTTTTATTTATTTATTTATTTTTTATTATTATTATTTTTATTTGGAATCGCACTCTGTTGCCCAGACTGGAGTGCAGTGGCTGCTCCCGGCCACCGCAGCCTCGACCTGCTGGGCTCTGGTGATCCTTCCACCTCAACCTTCCAAGTAGCTGGAACTACAGGCGTGTGCTACCACGCCCAGCTAATTTTTCACTTATTGTCGAGATGAGGTCTCGCCAAGTTGCCCAGGCGGGTCTCGAACCCGCGGGCTCAGGCAATTCACTCACCTCAGCTTCCCAAAGGCGTGGGATTACAGGCTAAGCCACCGAGCCCGGCTTGTCTTTTTATTTATTAGTGATGACCATCCTTGCTGGAGTTGGGTGGTATCTCACTATAGTTTTTTTTTGAACTTATCTGATGATTAATGAGGCTAAACATTATTTTCATGTATCTATTGGCTGCTTATATATCTTCTTTTGAAAAGTGTCTATTTCATATCCTTTGCCCATTTTTTAGTAGGGTTGTTTGTTTTTTTACTTTCAGCTCACTTGAGTTACCTGTGAATCCTGGAAGTTAGGCCTTTGTCAAATACATAATTAGCAAATATTTTTTCCTGTTGTCTCCTCACTTGCTTGATAGTTTCTTTTACTGTGCAAAATCTTTTCAGTTTGATGAGTTTCCACTTGTCTGTTAGCTTTTATGGCATTCATTCTTGGGGATTGATCAAGAATTGGTTGCCTACTCTGATGTGCATAAGAGTGTTTCCTCTTTTCTTCTAGGATTCTTACAGTTTGAGGTTTCATATTTAGGTTTGTTATTCACTTAGAGTTGATTTTTTTAAATGGTGTTAGGTAGGGGTCCAGTTTTATTCTTCTGCATGTAGTCAGCCAGTTTTCCCAATACAATTTGCCAAATACAGTCTCCTTGCCCCACTGGTTGTTATTGGTGACTTTGTTGAAGATGCATTGGTGAAGAGATCAAGTTTTTTGCTTCCAGAATCTCTGTCCTGTTCTATTGGTCTATGTGCCTATTCTTGTACCAGTACCAGGCTGTTTTGGTTACTGTAGCCTTGTAGTAAAGTTCAAAGTCTGGAAGTGTGATACCTCCTGCTTTGTTCCTTTTACTGAGGATTGTTTTGGCTATTGGTGCTCTTTTTTGTTTCCTTACAAAATTCTGTATTGTCATTTCCAGGTCTGAGAAAAACAATGCTGGTAGTTTGATGGGTATTGCACTGAATCTGTAGATTGCCTTGGATAGGATGGACATCTTGGCAATATTGATTCTTCCAGTTTATAAGTATGGAATGTTTTTCCATTTGTTTGTGTCATTCTTGATTTCTTTGAGCAGAGTTTTATAGTTCTCGTTATAAAAATCTCTGGTTAAGCGGATGCCACGGTATTTCTTGTGTGTGTGTGTGTGTGTGTGTGTGTGTGTGTGTGTGTGTGTGTGTGTATTGTGAATGGGATTGTGCATTTTATTTGGCACTCTGTCTGCTTGTTGCTGGTGTGTAGAAATGCAACTATATTTTGTACCCTGAGACTTTATTGAACTTGATTAACAGTGTGAGGTGGCTTTTGACAGACTCCCTAGGGTTTTCAAGATACAGAATCATATTGTCTGCAAAGTGGGATAGCTTGACTTCCTCTTTTCCTGTTTGGATATCCCTGATTTCCTTCTCTTGCTCTGACTAGGACTTCCAATACTATGTTGAATAGG